AGCTTTCCAGGTCAGATCGCAGAACCTTAGCGTTTGTTTGAACATGCTCAAATCAAACGCCGTGACTCGGCGATCATTGGCGATCACAGCACGATATGTGGGGTTTCCATCACGTATTTACCACGCTGATGACGACTTGACGCGCTCTGGGACCATTCTCCGCCGCCGTAGCAGCGCAGTAAGGGCACCACCCCGGTCTGACGGGGGTATTAGTTGCGAACGCATCATGCTCAATGTTGCCGCCTGTTTCCTTCCCAGAGCTTCGTGACTTCTTTGCAGTGGAAAAAATGTACCTAAGTTGCCCTGTCGCTTCATTTCACGGCGAATAACCGATAAACATTTTTCAATAAGTGAAAGCGTTCGTAAAACACGACGATACCAATCACAACTCGACTGAACGTTCGTTCTGAAGGAAATACTGGAAACATGTCGCTAAATGTAGTCCGTGTGAGAGCTCGAGCAAACTCTCTGTCTATGCTGGATTACACAGTGTGCTTTCTTTCTTACATTCGGTTTCCTCTTATGTAGGACATTCATGTTTAAGTAAATTTGACACTTGACAATGCATGACGCCATCGTCATCTCCAAATTGCGTCAAGTCACATACATCCAACACCCGATTTGACATGAATTCTTATTATGAATTAATACGATCACATTGTGATTCAATTTCATTGATGCAATTAAGCATTAATTTTGATATTACATATCATGCCTGTATCATTATCTCGCGTTTTAAATGCCCATATCCCACCCACCATCTGAAGATAAAGGGCAAAGCACAAGACCGTGACTCTTTTCTCATACAAACATTTTTTATGTAGCTCCCCAACCCTCTGCATCCGCCCCTGAAGAGTTTTTTAATAACCATGGCTGACGAAACATTTTGTGAACAACAGAGATATAGAATTGAATGTGTAAATTCGTAATCCGAAGGGAGGTAAAAAGCAAATTCAGATCAAAACACATACCAAAAATAACAGCAAACTGCCCTGTTGTCAAAGGCAGTGGTATAAGGTGTCCTAGGAAGAGTAAGCATATCCTGCCACACACGCCCCCTCCCCCCGCTGCTGTTATTTAAGAATAGCCAAAACCAAGTGCAAGACGGTGCTACCACAGGCTTGTAAAACATTTAAAACAAATGAAAAACACATATTTATGAAAACAAGGTGGTCATATTAAAAGCCTAGACGCATTGACGACAGAGACAAGAGCAATTTAAAAATTTAGACTCAGCATTTTGTCATGCTGTATTATGAACCAGGGGAGGAGGTGCAGATTTATCCAAGGGGGTGGGGGCTACACGTTGCTGCTCTTCTAAGAACAATTGTTGTTTAGATTTTGCCGGGGTGGGGCACGAATTGTTCTAGGGGGCAACTGGCCTGTATTGTGGGCGTGGATATTAATTCTATGAGGTATATAAATGATTTTAATTATTTTCAGTAAACATGATTAGGAACAAAATGGTTGTAAATGCTGGACTGGAATGACTTAATTTGTGAACATAGTTCGAACTCGGATACCCTGACTGGGGCTTGTATTTGCAAACGCCGAATGTTTTCATTTTCCATTGAATGTTGAGGTAGTTCACTATTTTTCTTTGAATTTCCTTCTTCATTATCTTTATCTTGTACGTCATAAACCATAATCTCCATTTCTATAATAGGAATATCTTCTTCTACATCACTTTCTTTATTTCCATTATCAACTGTTAATTGTAGGGGGCCTATCTGTTCTTTATCTTTACCTGACCTGTCGCCAATGTTTAATTGGATCGCATCATCATCATAAGGATTGTTGTACTGTTGAAATTCGTTGGCCATAGCCCATTCTGCGCGTTTATTTATTATTATTTTGTCTTTTAGTAATTACCTCTGCGTTGTCTTGAAGGATAGAATACATGACGCTTGAGTTGAATATAAAATGTTCACTGTGTCTAAAATATTGGATACTAGAAGAATGCCCGGCTTCGCTCGGGGTCATAACTCCGAAACCGGAAGTGGTAGACTAACGCCACCTGGTCTGTGTTACTCCCTGGTCCGAGCTACCCTATACCCAAAATTTCAGACTCGGGGCAGACCTAGTGTAGCCGCCAACCCCGAACAGACAGACAGACAAACAGACAAACAAACAAACAGACAAACGACAGTCACAAATATTAGTATAGATAGATTAGGATCCCATGTTTTCAGGCAAGATAACAACATCAAAAGTGGTTGAAATACTGAATTCTAGTTCGTGTTTTTAATTTCGAAAATTGTGGAAAATGTTGAGTAAGACGTTTAGATCCTTTAAGAAGACTTTTATACTCTGGGATAGGCTGTATTATCAAATAGTCCGTTACTTTTATTGTTTTGAAATATAATGAATAAATAATAATGGCGGTAATCAGCCAGCATATCGAAGCAAGTCAGTGATGACCCGAATTTAAGAAAGCTTTTTTTCCCGGGTATGTTTGTATTATCAAATAGTCGGATACTGTATTTTGAAATCTAATAAATAATTTAAGCGTGGCTATATTTAAGGCGGTGATCAGCCAGCTAATGGAGACAACACTCTTATTCATTCTCCTAACCTGCAGTCAACTACAAGTCTGTATATTCTCGTCGATAATGTCATTATTGATTAGGTTTAACTGGAACATTGGATAAATTCGTCTAAGTAAATTATTGGTTATTTTCCGCTGTTTCACAGCATATATTGAATATTAGGTCAGCGATCTCTTAATCTATATATATATTTGTGACTGTCGTTTGTCTGTCTGTCTGTCTGTCTGTTCGGGGTTGGCGGCTACACTAGGTCTGCCCCGAGTCTGAAATTTGGGGTATAGGAATAGTTCGGACCGGGGAGTAACATAGGCCAGGTGGCGTTAGGGTACCACTTCCGGTTTCGGAGTTATGACCCCCGAGCGAAGCCGGTCTGTTCGGGGTTGGCGGCTACACTAGGTCTGCCCCGAGTCTGAAATTTGGGGTATACGGGTAGCTCGGACCGGGGAGTAACATAGGCCAGGTGGCATTAGTCTACCACTTCCGGTTTCGGAGTTATGACCCCCGAGCGAAGCCGGTCTGTTCGGGGTTGGCGGCTACATCTGCCCCGAGTCTGAAATTTGGGGTATAGGGGTAGCTCGGACCGGGGAGTAACATAGGACAGGTGGCGTTAGTCTACAACTTCCAGTTTCGGAGTTATGACCTACGAGCGAAGCCGGTCTGTTCGGGGTTGGCGGCTACAATAGGTCTGCCCCGAGTCTGAAATTTGGGGTATAGAGGTGGCTCGGACCGGGGAATAACATAGGCCAGGTGGCGTTAGTCTACCACTTCCGGTTTCGGAGTTACAACCCCCGAGCGAAGCCGGTCTGTTCGGGGTTGGCGGCTACACTAGGTCTGCCCCGAGTCTGAAATTTGGGGTATAGGGGTAGCTCGGACCGGGGAGTAACATAGGCCAGGTGGCGTTAGTCCACCACTTCCGGTTTCGGAGTTATGACCCCCGAGCGAAGCCGGGTATCCTGCTAGTTACACATATTTATGTTTATTACGCCGATATTCAATTACAAAGCGATTAACATTTTCGGCATTAAGTTCTGATGTTCTAGAAGAAACAAGGCGATTAACATTTTTAGGGCTAAGTTCGTGTGTATCTCAAAATAGATAAGTTGTAAAATATGAACAGTTTCGCTTTTGAACATCAGATATCCTAAACCGATCAGCAATGACTATTCACTATGATATCTGTGCGAGTTATTCACTTTTTTCCTTTTGCAAATTAAACTTTAAAATATGAACAGTTTCGCTTTTGAACATCAGATATCCTAAACCGATCAGCAATGAATATTCACTGTGACATCTGTGCGAGTTATTAACTTTTTTAAAATATTTTTTTTGAAGTATTAGCAAAAAAAATTAAGGTGCTTTCAGTACATCTGAATAAAAATATTTCCTATTTAGTGTAAATGGGAACATAAAATATACGTCGTAAAATAAATAAAAGGCACCATTCTGTCCGGACTATTTTACGTTACCACGTAGCATCATGGCGTCCCGAAGAATTACACCGCCATTGACCATATCTGAGAGCAACAGCAACATAAATATACTTCATCCTGTTAAAAATATTATGTGAAGTGTGAAATCAATTGGTTATAGTGTTATTTTGGGAACCATTTAGCTGAATTCGGTCGACAATTAGATTGTAAATTACGACCATCGGGAGCAATTTCTTCATACAAAAATAAATACCTACAAAACTTCCACACACTGTTCAATTATTGTCTAAGTATTAATTAAATTACTGTAAAAATTACGGTCGGCAATTAGATTACAAAAATTAATACCTACAAAATCCCACATACTGTTCAATTGTCTAAGTTTTAATTAAATTCTTGTAAAAACATGACAGTTCTCTCATCTTCTGGGGATTTAATGGAAAGAACACTACTGACGTCTGCACTATGAGTTTTGCTATAAATAATTGAAAAATTGTCCTGGGGCTTATGGCATAACCCATTGCCAGCCACCAGTCGTTGCCAACGAAATCGGTTTCTTCTACCAATCCTTATGGGCGTATGTATCAATTGTGACAGGAAATAAAATGAGGTGCTTATGTTGAAGGGATAAAAATCGAGTTCAGTCCCTTTGTTTTCTCACCTTCTTGTCCCTGGGGCGACTCTTTTCGAAAAAAGCCTAAGGCTCCGCCAAGTAGGATCGACACGAAACTTAGTATGCTTGTTCCTAGGACAACTGTGCACCGATAAAGACTTAAAACTCTAACCCTATTGTATGGTTGCGATGACGTCATACAATAGGGGGTATATTGCGCGGGCAGTGCTTAATCGGACGATCTGTCTCTCCGTTTGAATTGATTGCTTAATAGCTTAAAGGTCCCGGCAGCAGATGGAACGCTTACCCAGTTCTTGTTTTAAAAGCTTGACATCTTGAGATTGTTTGTATGTATGAAGAAAACACATTGCCTTTCTGTATACATAATGTTCAAAGAATGAATGTTATTGGGTTCTGTTGTGTGAAGAAAACAAAACCAACCACGACGACTGCTGTGACTGTCCATGTGTTAAAGCTATAAAGACGTGCTATGTGTTTCATCGTCAGTTATTGAGAGATCGTTGCTGACATACGATCTATATAGTCATTATGTATGTATTTATTTATCAACATCTTACCTGACCAAACATCTATTGAATGGAAAGTTTCAACATTATTAGTGGATCATATCAACTCAACTATATATATTAGTAAAATCACTAATCATAAAACAGTGCGTGAAAGTTGGATCAATTCTACGGTAGATCTAATTCTCAAATAATAAGAATGGTGGGAAACCGTGATGTTTATTTATTCAGTCTAGCCTAGAAACAGGAGTAAAATTAGACGTCTCATATTGAGTTGTTTCGTTTTAATGTGTCGTGTTCTGGGAGTATACTTTGAAGTTATTTACGGTCATTGGAAACTAATGTTTTAAATCTTACTTTAGACCGTACATGGGTTGCAACGTGTTAGTGAACTTGAACAGGTCTGATAAATGACAACTTTACATGGTTAAGAAGCGTTAATCTAACTGAAGCTTGAAACTTTTGGATAATTTTAGACCCTATTCAACGATTAATTACATTTACATCTTGTTTATCAACTTTATGATGCTGTAAACATGTCAGGATCTCGCCGCATGATGTCATATATTAATTATATGTAAGGTAAGAAATGTAATCTAATTTTAAATAGTCCTTTTAACGGGGCGAATTTAAATTCCACCAGTATGTTTAAAGTTAATTTTGTATTTTTGGCAGGGTTTTTTGTTTTCAATTTTTTCAAAACCATGCTAGCAATTAATCTAATCCAATTAATCAAGTTAATGTGTGCTTGTAGTCATGATATGACCTAGCTGCATTGTGTTGACGTTAAAAACACAGTTCACTCTTTTATGTTTAGAAATACAGTGGTTATTTTTAAAATATTTTCTTAAGTTATCATAATCAGAACCTTAACTTTAAACATTCAATAGCTGAAGATTCCATCTATGCAGATATAATCCATTATTAAAAGTTCTACGTTCCTGCACCGACTAAGCTCATGAAGACGGTCATACGCTATGCAGTGTGTTATGGAAGAAATATGAATAGCCTACTATTATTTCGAAATACAAATGCCAGAGGGTCTTTTACATGGGAAACCGGATTTCGTCTCATCCGGACGACTACACTAGGTACTTTGTCACCCCCCTTCCCCCGCGCTGAACCAATGATAAGGAGAAACCACGCCGGAAAAAAGCAACAATGCCCCACTGTTCAGCATATTAGTACAAAGCCCAACTTAGGCATGAGCCTGAGGGGCCTAGGCCCAGGGCCCAGTGGTTAAGGCGGCCCCGCGGTTCATGGCAAAAAGAGAAAAAAATCAAATTCCAAATGAAAGTTTCACGGTTATCTAGCTAGCGGCGCGAGGGCGGAGAATGGGCTATCCGTCAACCTTCTCTGTGAGGTTCCATTCGGTTATCGGTCTAGGCTTCTAGTGGCGCAATTGCCGGAGACTGGGCGAGTCTGCACTCCCTCAACCTCCTCTGTGATTGGTCGAATCCCATTCAAAAGGATATGAAATAATCTTTTCGTCGCGTTAGGGGCCCCGCGAGTCTTATCAGACCCAGGGCCCCGCTCCGGTTAAGCTGGACTTTTTATTAGTAGTATTTTTTGTTAAAATATAAAATAAAACACGGTAAGCTATATAAGTTCGCTAGTAACAGATGATGTCTATATAGATACATTGAAATAATTAATAGCTAATCCCCTTACGTTTCTAGCATTATTACTATTGGTACAAACACATTCAAAAATAGCACCAAAAGATTTCTTCTTAAGTGTGATAAGGTCGGGAATTTGACGTTAATAAGAAAGCACCACTTGAAATTTTATAGTTATAGTTTGTTATGTTTATCAGGGTAGGCTAACTAAATAGCTTAATAAATATTTGCTTAGTGCTGATAAAGATGTGTACTTGTGTGTTAATGACAAAAATTGAGTGATGTATAATGTTGATGCATTTTTAATAACTCTTCTACCACAATACATGGTGTGTTCATAGGGTGATAATCACTTTTTTTGCCTTCACAAAAAGTATGTGGACATGAATTGGCAAAACACCATTAAAATTCATTCGTTGGAATGAAATTAACTTGCGGCATGATATGTGTACTTAATTTATATTTCAATCAATGATGCAAACACCGTTTAATTCCATTATATTTTTTCGACACTGTTAGAGTTTTTGCTATGCCAATATCGTATTTTCATGTTAAGCACGACTCTCGTCCTTCTTTCAGCTACAGTGTTTGAGGGAATCACAGGATCTTGATGCTGACTTCGAAAAGACTTCAAGTAGTTTTAATTAGGAGAGATTCATTGGTATGTGTATAGCGTGGCCTGTTTAAATATTATTTGATCGAAGAATGTGTTGCTTAACATTAGTAAATGCCACACCTCCAGTGTGACGCTATTCAAGAAAAGCAATATGTTAACATTTAAGGAACAGAAACCCACAGAAAAATCATGTCGACTCTACCACCTCACGGTGTCACAACTATGAGCAACTCTAATTTCATATCCGTTATCCCCAAGGATTCTATAGGCTTATCGCACACCCACCGAAGATCGCAGCAAGAACCTCACAATACCACCATGCATTCCGGTGGGCCGGTGAACCTTACTTTACCAAGAGAAATGACATTTAATGATGATAATTTGGTGTCGGTGATAGCGTATTCGTGTTTGTTTTTGATAGCAGCTACTGGGAATTTGACAGTATTCATAACATTGTTTCGAAGTAGAGGGTTCAAATCTAGAGTAAATAGCTTTATCATGCATTTATCAGTGGCCGATTTGATAGTTGCCTTCGTTATGCTTCCGATGGAAACTGCTTGGCATATAACTGTGTCCTGGAAAGCCGGAGACTTTGCATGTCGTTTGATGATGTTCTTCAGAGCATTCGGATTCTATTTGTCATCATTCACTTTAGTCACAATTAGTTTAGACCGATACTTTTCTATTGTACATCCAATGAGTTTACACGATGCTGAAAGGCGTGGGAAAATAATGCTGACCGTTGCGTGGACTTTAAGTGTTGTTGCCAGTCTTCCCCAGGTAGGTCTCTTTGTTATTATCTTTATTTTATTACTTTTATTATTTTTTTGTATTATGTCACAGGTTCAGTTAAAATAAACCAACCCTGTGGAATTACCGAGATTGTTGTAATACACGGTTGTATATTCTATTTAAATATGGTCCTCCGGTTATTAACCTCCGTTAAGCAAACACCCATTGCTTCGTATACTGGTATGGGTTACATTTATAACAGCCAGTCAAATACACGCAAAAGTTCAATACACATCTTAAAGCCTATAGCTATTCACACATGTTGATATTATTATTGGCGGCGTTGCAGTATAATGTTCTAAATTGATTATGTGTAAATGATAGATTCTTTGTAAACAAGCCATATTGTAATTATTAGGCTGTTCTTATATACCTGTATGTTTTCTCATAACATGCTGGTGATCTATATAATATGTTTCTGTGTTCAGCTGTTCTTATGTAGTCGCATATGTATCATTTCGCGTACCACTATGTTTCACATTTTCCCCAAATACTCTATTTATTGATTCTCAAATTCGACTGTTAGACGATGGCCTCCGCAAAATTTGCACCAAATAACAGGGACAACATTAAATTCCTTCATATTTGTTCATTTATAGAATATATTAAAACCTATTTTTGTACGTTAAACCATTTATTCCCCAATATTATTTGACATATAAATCGATTTAATCCATTTTGCCGACATTTAATTGACTTTGCCAATGGGCAAAGTTTATTTACCATTCGAAATGGGATTGTAGACAGATGGTGCATATTCATGTATAAAAGAATTGAGTTTCTAAAATTTGTATATTTGTATAAACTAAAAATAGGATCTTGGTGTTAAATTAAACAACCATAGCCAATTCTCGATCTAACGACCTACATTTTTCTAACCTGTTAGAAGGATCAAACCCAATACAAGAGAGAGAGAGAGAGAGAGAGAGAGATAAATGGGGTTTAACGTCCACTCGACACAACCTAGGTCATTTCGGGACCTAACATGGTTTAATTTTATTTCAATAATTCGCTTGCGCGTAGGGGTCTTTAGCAGTGGGAGGAAACCGGAGGACCCGGATAAAACCCACGAGGTTGGACAGGCGACCCTACTCCTTGTCACGTACAACCGGGGATTCGAAACCACGCCAGTCGACTCAATGACAGACTTTATGATACAGCGCGCGCACGCTAACCATTTAGCCATCCAACCCCCCCACCCAATACAAAAGATAGATGGCTATATGAAGCGCTATCCAAGGTTCTAGAAGGAGTTAGAATATCCTGCCCTGTACATGAAACTCGACACTCCTTGTAACATTGGATTGTAGACAGATGGTGCATATATAAAAGAACTGAGATTCTTAAATTTGTATATTGGTGTAAACTACAAATAGGATCTTGGTGTTAAATTAAACAACCATAGCCAATTCCGATCTAACGACCACCATTTTTCTTATGGAAGACCAAACAGCTCTGTATTTAGTGTTCTTAATTCTTAGTTCTTAATTCATTATAGTCCTTAATTCTTAGTTCTTAATTCATTGTCCTTAATTCTTATCTCTTCATTTGTTGTCGTACTTCGACATCTGTACACTAAAATTAACATTTGTATCTTAAAATCAATATTTGTTTCACAAATCAGACATTTGTCATATCAAATTATTTTGTAAATTTATTTTTGTTTAATTCAATTGTATTTTAATATAAAGATCAAATTTATTTTAGTAAACCAAAAAAAATAATCTACATTTACATTTTATCATAGACATAAAAGAAAAACAAATCTCGAACAACAAATTTCCAAATACAAATCTCCAAGTACAAATCTTGCAAATCATTTGTCCTAAAACATTTCTCGAAATTCATCGAACCGGAACATTATGACATGAGCGGAAATCAACCAGACATACAATAAGTCACCATACAATAAAGGAGAATCGAGCAAGCATATATACAATAGGAAGAATCGCTCGATGACCGTGACTTTAGTGAAATCACGTGCGTGTTATGTTTCTATATATAAATATATTGGTTAATATGACCTAGCATTAAATAAAATAGATTGAAAGTAGTCTATTTTTAGTAATTAAGTTATTTTTTGATAGCGACATATTTTTTGGGACAAACGAAAGAGGATTTTATCTCTTTTAATTCATGTAATCATGAATGTCCCAGTAAAATAGCTAATACTCATATATTCAAAGAGCGGTAGACAAATACTTTCCGGTGAAGCATTACACGATAACTGGAATTTCGTATTAAGACGCGTATTTTGACTTTTAAATACCCCCCCCCCCCACACACACTAAATTGTGTTCAGACGATCCAAATTGTATCTGCTTTAACAAGGTACGTAAATATGAATATTTTAGAAAATATTTTACAATTTTGAAAATGTATTTGACCTTTTTAATGGTATGCATCCCGATATCTTGTATTTCGTGTTATGGCCCGTATTTTGACATTGAATCCCCCCCCCCCCCTCATTTAATACCGGTTAGTACCAGTCAATTTCTTTTCTTTTTTCAAGGTATGTAAATATAAATTTACATTTTGTAGCAAGCAAAAAGCATACTTTCCATAGTATATGGACAGATATCAAGAATTTCTTATTAAGATCTTTAAATACCCCTCCCCTTTGATCTTTTTTCAAGGTATGTAAATATAAATGTGCCATAAAATAACTCGAAAAGGTGTACGGTATTAAACACTGTTGAGTGATGGGGAAGGGGTGGGCGGGGTCTTAAATGTCAAAATACGAACCATACTACGACATTCCAGATATCACACAGAATACCACTAAAAAGAAATTTCGTTTACCTTTTCAGAAATGTAAATTATATTCTGGGTATTACAGTTGGATGACGATAAATATTAAGTTAATGGGGTCGTGGTGGATTTAAAAGTTAAAATACGGGTTACCGAGTATTGTAACATGCTTAAGGGTGAATCTTGCGTTTTGATTGGTCAATTAGACACTGTCGATTGAACAATAACACCCCTCAGTTTTAGCAAGGCGAATAACTGCGTATAAATATTACAGTGTACTTTTTCCACTTTTTGCTCAACCATCTTCCTTAACTCCAATCTTTATTGACAAATATCTTCAAAAAAAATCCGGTCAAATGACCATCACACTATTTTCAAATTTCATCCTTTATCCATACACATCTCTGAAATACATAAAACAGTTGAAAATCAGTCATAAATTCATAAAAAACGTGTTCAGGCATCATAAATTATTCGTAACTAAGCAGTGTGGACATTTTTTTTTCATTTTTTTTTTTGCACTCCGCAATCTTTACTTTAAAAAGTGGAAATTTTAAATCAAGGTTTGATCAAATTCTGAATAACATGATCCGCCTAATAATGAGTCATTAGTCACAAGAAATCGTTTGAAAATATAGTAAGGGAGGCGAAATAGCAGCTGAGATGGGCCTACGATAACGGCAAATTATGCGATAATTGACAATGATTGACAACTCGTCAGAACGGTATACATAGCAACCACTAGATTCCCAGGCATCACATAGTTTTATAGGGTATTTTGAGGGATGTAAGCAAGAACTGCTCTTCTCTGAACAAGAACTAGCAATAAAATTGTGTTCAGGACATGAGGTATTTACCCCCTAAACGTATGACCCGAAAGTATTTTTTTTTATCCCTCTTTCAATATATTACTTATTCGCTGGCACATTCATTAAAACATGATTTAAAAGAGATAAAACCCTCTTTCGTTTGAGCAAAGAAGGGGGGTTGAATGGCCGAATGGTTAGCACGTGCGCGCTGTATCATAAGGTCTGTCATTGAGTCAACTGACGTGGTTTCGATTTCCCGGTTGTATGTGACAAGGAGTATTGCCGCCTGTCCAACCTCGTGGGTTTTCTCAGGGTCCTCTGGTTTCCTCCCACTGCTAAAGAACCCTACGCGCAAGCGAATTATTGAAAATTGAACCATGTGTTAGGACGTTAAACCCCATTTCTCCCTATCTTTGAGCAAAGAAATATGTCGCTATTAGACAAAACCTAATTTCTGAAAATAGACTACTTTCAATTTATTTTCTTTATCGAAAGACCGGTCCGATTAGCCATACTACGCACGAGTCGCGGTCATCGAGCGATTTTTCTTCAATAGCCCAGTTCGGAGCAGAATAGTAGGACGTTAAACCCCATTTCATTTCATTTCTTGTACATATGCCTATACTCAATTCCCCATTATTGTAAGGTGACTTATTGTATGCCAGGTTGATTTCCGCTCATGTCGTCATAATGTTCCGGGTCGATGAATTTCGAGAAATGTTTTTGGAGAAATGTATTTGGAGAAATGTTTTTAGAGAAATGTTTTGCAGGATTTGTATTTGGAGATTTGTATTTGGAAAATTGTTGTTCGAGATTTGTTTTTCGTTGTATTTCTGATAAAATGTAAAAGTAGGCTAATTTTTGATTTTCTGAAAAAAAAAGAAAAAAAAATCTTTATATTAAAATACAATTAAGTTAAACTAAAATACATTTTACAAATCTGATACAAGTCTGATTTGTAAAACAAATATTGATTTTAAGATACAAATGTTAATTTTACTGTACAAATGTCGAAATACGACAACAAATGAAGAAATAAAAATTAAGGAATATGAATTAAGAACAAAGAACACTGAATAAAGAGCTGTTTGGTATTTCATATTTTCTAACCTGTTACAGTGATCAAACCTAGAAATGGTTCCACTACTGATGTCTTCCGCCTTACTCCAGCCACAGTAGTGGCTCGTCCTACAGAGTTCCTTTGCGCAAGTTTTTTAGTCAAATCACTACAAAAAGGTTACTGGCCTATAGCTCCCTTAATTTACACATAAACTGACCCAAAACAGTACTGCACTTAGCTTAACATATAATAAATCAATTCCTATTGAAACAAAGGTGAAGCCTTACCGCATAATTATATGATTTTATGAAACCCAACTGCTACGCGAAATTTCAACTGGCTGGTGTCATGGCGGGCTTGCGTAATAC